GAGAGTCCGGAAAAAGGAAAAGAAAAGGGAAAAGATAATGAATAATCGGGTGTCCGTAACACAGATGCTGTCTTAGCACGTGCGGGTCTTTGTCCCCTGCGTCCACCCCTGTTGACACGCGGAAGGCATCAAGTAGTGGACAGAGAAGACAGTAGAAAACACACATGGCGCGCAGTGAGTACATCCCTAAGCCCGCATCGCGCACTCTGAGACACTGGTAAAAGTCTCGAAACCGGAAGTCGATGCCCTAGAGGGCACGCATATCAGCACTAAGGACTTCGAGGCACTTCGGGCACACCCTCACCGACTTGTACGCCCGCCTCTCCTCCTGGACATGCGTCTCGAAGAGTGGATGATTGTCGAGAAGGTCTCTCCTGCGCATCGCCACCCACTGGCTGACAGCACCGAAACCCGTGAAATGGGGATCCGTCGTCCGGATGAACGTCTCGAACTCGCCATCAAGAACAGAGTTGACCACGCGAACTTGATCCTCGTTGAGAAACTGACCTATACCGGACATAATGAGTTAGTCCGATGGAACTGGGATCAACACAGGCTGAGGTACTATATATGGTGTCGGATCTGTACCACGTGCATGAGTTGGTTAAGGAGCCCACTTCACTGCACCGGTATGACTCTACCGGGGCTGAATGGGAAGGGAATCGCGACCATCCGGCGCACCATATCGCCATGAGGTGGAGCCGTGAGCCAGTCCTGACCGAAATACGATGAACGAGAGCGCTCGCGATTGAATGGGATGGCTCAGTTCCCGCGGCTAGTATACGATGACGGTCTGAACAGCGCCCATCGACCCTGTGGGATAAAGAACTCTGTGCGGAGTCGCACAGACATGTAGAGAGATGTTGCTCTCTTAGCAGGATGCGATCACAGGGAGGACATGACCGTTCGTGGACAAGTGTCGGTAGACGAGTGGGCCGGCCGGCCGGCTTAGCGGCGCGGTAAACGAGGCTCTGGGTCTTTGGACTCGATCCACGATGACGATGGCCAGAACTTGAAACGGGCCGAGTGGGCTGGACAAAACAAGTCGTGAAAGGCCTACTTGGGTACTGTAGTCACCGTCATGTATCACAGGCTCACATTCCCTAGCTCTTGAAGCTGCTCATGTCTGCTCTTGCCTATTCAAATCTCTAGTTCCTACGCGGTCTGCCCCCTGATAATTTCGCTCCTCGCGCAACTGCATGGTCTCGCCAAGATAGTGATTGGAATGGGACGCACCTTCGCGGGACTTCTCGGCCTCCCTTTCGCTTTCGATTGATCGGTCAGTCTCCACCCCTTGTTGATTCGGCTTTGACGCTGATTGTCACTTGGAGTGAGTACTTGTAGCTTCTTGACGCTAGCTCCGGCGAGACGAAGACCGGATGTCTTCATGCGTCCTGGCGCCGGTGCTCCGACGCACCCTTCACTCGATGTCGTGGATATGGAAGAAGCGTCTCCGATGTTGATAGACTGGGTGAGCTGGCTGTGATTCTTCACCGACTTCTCGATTGCCGTACGGGACCTTACTTGTGTTGAGTAGAGGAGTTCAAACCTCATCGCGGCACCTTGTAGTGGAACCGGATCGTGCGGCCAAGCTGTGCGTACCTCTTGAGTTCCGATGCTTACTGGGACTAACCTGTACGATGCTTTAAGGTAGTGCATTTCGTTCGCCGCGACGCAAGCAGTTCACTTTCACGTTGTGTAGTGGCCTGAGGCTCCTCACGGCTCCTTTCCTATGTTACTGGGCGTATGTCCTGTTGTGATATGACATGGTGAGACGAGATCCTCGACGGCCCAAAATATCATACATTTCCTGCGTTTTAGCGGCCTATGCGTGGGAGATCCCGATCGCCGTCATCCCAGTCCTGGCATGGAGTGCTCCGGGTTTGCTGATCCTGAGCAGCCTCGGCTACTCGAGAAGAAACTTGTTCTACATGACTACCGGATTTGAGCTGGCTCCGGAAGTCTTCACGAGGTAGCAACGGGATTCAGAAGACCGTGATTCAATAGGCACACATCTGGATATATATGTATGGTGTATGTCACCATGCCATGCACCGTACAAGACATGTCAGGAACCCATGCCATCCCGCGCGATCATCGTCTCACACCTCAAGAAGAGAGGGCGTTGTGCCGTCGGTACGCCCTCTTCAGGCGGGTTCTCGAATGTCAGGTTCGCTATGGGCAAGACGTCTCTTCAAGGATGCACGAAGGGATACGAGGCTTTACGCTTGAGACAACATTTCTCATGTCCGAACGGCGCTTACCCTTGTCTCCGGAGGTGCGCCAAAAGGTTTCCAGAGATGGCTATTATCTTTGACCATGTAAACAGTTCATCGAGATCTGGTACCTTCGCACACATATCTGGGTAGAGCTCCACATCTCAGAGGGGTGTAGAGGATGTACGTGGAACTCAGCAGCTCGTGCTCGCCACCGACGAGCAGGATTCATGCCATACGCGTACTAATGTACGCGAACGAACCTCTCATATATGATGATACTGATTCTGGGATAGGCAGGTCAATGTGGCGACCCCATGGTGGCAAACGATAGTGGTGCACCCGGTTTGGTCATGGGACAGGTCGATGAGGGTAATGAAGACGATACAGCGCGCCCGCCTCTCGGTTTTCTGAACCAAACAAGAGCATAATCGCCTTCAAAGCCTTTGTGTTGAATGATGGCCTGCATGTGCGAAACTTACAGGATTAGACCTCATACACGAGACGAAAACACTTGCTTTCTGAAAGAGTGAACCCGCAGACTCTTCCCGGTTTGTGATGGGGCGCCCCAAGGACAGTTCCGCAGGCGCAAAGCCTAAGCGACGGCTGCGACAGCAGCACCACGACAGTGAACGCCAATGAATTTGGGCCCCAATATCGGCCACTTTTGTATAACGTACCACGTGTGCCAATCACTCGCTCTCGCTCGAACAATACACTGCGGGATTGAATAGCTTTGTTCGCTCTCCTGCATGCCGAGGACCTCTCGCGTACGCGCGTGCCGCTAGCCGAATAATTTATATATGAGACACATAATTGTTCAACGGGCTTCAACGTCGGTGGCCATAGATTCTACATCGCCTGGGACGAACAAACTTTAGTTACTATCGAATAGGACAGTGACACTGGTAGACTATGCGGCACCCTTGACCTACTACTCGGCCATTGATTGGATCGGTAGTCGTGAAGCCGCCCACTAGTACGGTCGGTTGCCACTCCCTCCAAGCTCGACATACTACCGCCGTGGCTCAGCCGAAACTCGTCCGTCTGATTCTGATAGCCATCCCCAGTTCGGGACACTTGCTCTTCCTTCCGTAACGCTCTCACGACTTCTTCTTGTATAGTCCGTGGCCACACTTTTTAAATGATCGTCGACCTCTTGCCGTAAGAACGAAGGCAATTCGGAGACAATGACTTAGTTCCTCAGGGCCGGCGGCGATATGGGAGGCGGCGCGCAACGGAAACCACACGTGAAGGGCGCGCGCATCATGTGGCCGCGACAGAAGCAAGAGCCCTAGCGAATCCATGGGCGCCTTGATAGCCCTGTCGGAATGCTCAGGTGTGGTAAAAAGACACGCGCAAAGAAAACGTACCTCGGCTACGAGCAGGCGCCCGAGCACGTCATCCGACCGCAGTGTCTTCGCCGGTCAGCATCGAGTTGAGGTGCGGTGAGGGCCAATGTGCACGTTAAACTGAGATCAGACGAGGGAGAGGAGCGGGGAAGGCAGGTCTGCCGCATTCCAGCGGCCTCCGAAGAGAGCGCGCTGCTAAATGACGGTGTTCGTCGCTCGCGCTTCGTGATGCGCCCGTGAACTTCCATAGCCGCCCGCTCACGTACAGAGCCTACGAAGATCGGTGTCGTCCAGAGCACGGCATCGACCGCGATGAGACGGCGTGCAGACCAGACC